CATGGCTCTGTGCCGGTTCTTGTGGCGCTTGACTTTTTGTCAGCCCACCATCAACTGTCACAGGCTTTCGGCTCTGTGCAGGACTACTGGACGCATGACTACCTGTTGTGGTGGAGTGGATTCTCAAACGACGTGAGAGAACCACAAACAAACACAGCGCCGGACTGCAGACTTACGGAGGGGGTACCCCGATACCGTGTCGCGTCAACCTTGGGTCTCACCTTGTGTACCAGTCGGCTTGGCTGGTCTTGCTCCTCGTTAGACGTAGAAAACTTAAAGACTTGGTCTTGTATGGGGGTACTTGGTGGTCCCCGAGTGGATATACTTCACTCGGGACCGGTTTTCTTGAGCTCGATCGACTGAGTCGAGAGCGATGCACCTGGTACTATGTACCCCTTCGGTGGCTAACGGTTTCTTGATCTTTCGACCCCTTTTCTTGTTCCCCGTAGGGAAACCGCTTCCTATAGCGGGTCGTGGAATGGGTACGAACCCACAGGCCAAAATACTTCCTGGAGTTCGTTCGAGCTTGAATCTTACCACACGACTGTCTTCAACGGGGGAGGCCTAAATATCCCTTCCCCGGAACAGGTGGGTAGATCGAAACAAGTTCACACTTAAGTCTTGACACTTACTTGACACCTCAGGCCAACTATCCTGAGGTTCAACTTGCGTTGCTTGAGCCGTCACCTCACCTGACGTCGGTGGTCCAAAGGGTATCCCGCCCGGAATAGGTGAGGTGACGGAGAAGAGCTTGGAGAGGGGCTTAGAGCTGCCACGTGTAAGCAAATTCGAGTGTGTTTATTTATCTTATTCTCTGTATGCTTTTCTTGCCTAACCCTAACCCTTCGCTCTAGATGACACCACGTGTCAACTTGTGGACGAACAAATGGCTCTTTTCAAACATGGGACTTGTACCGGCTCTGCACTTTAAGGAGGCCTTGTACCTTCTATAACCTGAGTCCACCTGTCACCTGGGGTCACCTAGGTCCACCAGCCGCTTGGTGTCCACCTGTCACATGGGGTCCACCAGTCGCCTGGGGTCCACCTGTCACATGGGGTCCACCTGTCGCCTGAGGTCCACTGGTCACCTGAGGTCAACCTAAGCTGCCCTAACAGCGCTGGTCCTTTGGTCTGTAGTGTAGGGCAACATAGTGCCTTATCCGAACGTGGGACCTTGGACCATTTCGGGGCCCTGGTCACTCCCTGTCACTCATTCAAGAGAGTGACCGAGTTCTTTCACGCCAGTTATTATAATAACTACGAAGGGCCCCCATTTCTCTGGCACTTCTCCACAAAACTCTGTCCCCGGTCACTGGAAACCCTGTCCCCGATTACTGAAAACCCTGTCCCCGGTTACTGGAAACCCTGTCCCCGGTTACTGGAAACCCTGTCCCTGGTGACTGGTAAACCTGTCCCCGGTTACTGGTAAACCTGTCCTCAGTAACTGATACGCCTGTCCCTGGTGACTGGTAAACCTGTCCCCAGTGACTGTTAACCCTGTCCCCGGTAACTGGTACGCCTGTCCCTATTGACTGGAAACCTTGTCCCCGGTGCCCTGTCCCCGGTAACCGGTATCCTGTCCCTGGTGACCCTCATTTGAAACTTGGAACCTTGTGAGACCTGGATTATTTCCCCATTTATTGTAATATCCTCAGAAACCCCGATTCTTCTGGCACTTCTCCACACTGTCATCGCCCCATTCACTACACCAGTCTTCTCGACCTGGGTAGTAATATGTGTCACCTGGCTTTCCGCCAGTGCACTTTCAACTACACCACTCCTTTCGAGCTGGGTAGTTCCTGGTGTCGATTGACATACCGTCATCGCACCCTCGACTGTGTTGGACACAGCATCAGCCACATAAGCCTCTCGCAAGAGCACATCCTTTCCGGTGTCTTGCGTAGAGCTAGCGACTGTGCGTGTACGCCAGTCTATCCATGGTTGGTGTTTAGCCAACCAAGGCATGCCTAGGATGAGGTCATACGGACTCTCCATACCTAGCACTGTGAACTTCTCTTTACAGGAGAAGTCACCGAAACTGAAGGCGAGTTCAACTTGAACTCCCTCCGATTTTACGAGCGCGCCGTTCGCTAAACGAACGATCGCCTCTTCTCGCTTGCCATCCTGGCAAAGCGACTCCTAACTCGCCGGTCTCTTTTTCAGAGCCGTGAGTTTCACAAAGTTTTGTGATGCATCCGAATCCACGAGAAGAGTCACAACTTGGTCGGAGCCTCGTACTCGAGCGCTATAGACCAAAAGGGTTGAGTTCCGACCTTTCGGAACCTCAGGGACTATGATACCCATTTGTTCGATAACTCTGAACTTAGGGGTAGCTTCAGAGTCTGCGACAGTAGGACATCCCTCCCCTACTGCGCTCCCGCATTTCCCGACCCATCTTGGGCAGGTGCCGAACCCGTGCGTCGTGCACGCTGGTTTTTCGCACCTCCCTTCGGGTTGGGAGACTTTTTGCTGGCTGCCTTAGCACCAGCAGCTACTTTGGCATAGCAGCGAGCCATCATATGGCCTCGCTTGCCGCACTTGTAGCAGATCACATCTGCATTGCCTAACTTTATAGGAGTGGCATCAGACCTTTCGGTCGACGGCCTGTAATAGGCTGTTGCCGAGGCGCTGTTGTAGGATTGCTCCTCAACTAAGGCAATGTCAATTGCCTCTTCCATCGTCGCTGGCACCTTTCTGAAAAGGGCCTGACGCGATGGGCCATGCCTAAGTCCATTCATGAACGTGGCTACCTTGATACGCTCTGGTATCGGTTCCCCATTGATGGACGCCGACAGCGAACGCATCTCCTGCACAAATTCTTGCAGAGATCGTTTCGCCTGTCGTGCTCCAAAGAAGCGCGCCATAAGCAACACTTCATTGTTAGGCGGCTGATACATGGCGCGAATCTTTGCCTTAAAGATCGCCCATGATGGAAATGCATCAGCATTAGCCATCAGCGCAGAGTATGCTCACTCTGACGCTTTGCCACGCAAGTTGGATATGGCATACGAAACCATTCTGGTGTCGTCTTCGATGAGTTGCGCCACTCCACATTGCTCAACTGCTAATAGCCAGTGACACATCGTGTGAGGGCTAGTTCCATCGAACTTCGGAGGGTCCATCCGAATGGGCCTCGGTTGAGTAGGCCGGGCAGAGAGCGTCTTAACAGTTCTGTTGAGCGCCTCATTCCGTGCCTCCTCAAGCCTAAGCTCATCCTGAGTCTTAGTGATGGACTCAGCCGTAGCTTGGCTGTTTACCTCGGACACGTTCACACGCTGTCCGAGCACAAACGCCTCGTTTGCTCCAACTGAGCAACATGTTGCTCCGAGGACAATGTAAGAGGTTGACCAGGGCTTGTTCACCAAGTCCCTGCGCCATATGCTCTGCCAACTCCCTATGATGTTAGGAGATGTGAGGTCGCTCCAGTCCATATTAAGGACCATCTTAACCACACGCACGCTCAGAGAGACGGGTCGTGGGAAGGACTACTAGTGCTACCAAGTGTAGACGGGCACTTCTACGAAGTTGCCTCGTGCTACTAGCACACACCGTCAGCACAAGCGAGGAAGCGGTTAGATCGTCTTACCTTCGCGTGCGAGGGTGGTTAGGAGGTTGGTCGACTCGTACCACCAGTTGCCTCTCGCTTAAGCGAGAGTGCAACGAACTTCTAAACAAGAAGTCACCGACGTCATGCAGAAGCTTTTTCAGCTTCTCGTGCGCGGTGCTTTTGATTTAGCAAATTCAAGACTGAGCTATATTTAATGAATTATAATTAAATATAAAACTTAACTACTGATTGGCTAATTATGTAAAGATCGGATACACGACTCTTTGGGAGCGTATCCTGTCACATGAGTTTAAATCTAGATCTAAACTTGCGACTGACGTCCTTCTGAGACGTCGCGATGCCTAGCTTCAACTAGCGTCATCCCTCCCATGTGAATCCAAAAATGGATATCACATTCACGAGGGTGGATCACGTTTGTGTATCGCACCCAAGTGACAGGTCAAAAGTAATCATAGATACTTTTAGACCAAACATTAAGTATATCAATTAATGTTTGCGTGTAACTAGATGCCCTGTTACATGATCAATCAAAAGCGCAATTTTCATGCTGAAAGGATTTACGTTTGGGGCTGTATGGGTCCATAACGAAAGGCTATACAAGGACAAGTGCCAGATCCGCTCACTTACTAAAATTTTCACTCACCCGTCCGCGATATTTACTGTAACTTGCTGGAGTTGCACCACACTTCACACCCTACTTACGCATTTTTTCTCAGTCCTCCTCATTAAACCAAGCTTTGCACAATAGTTGTCATTTAACGTGAACACTGCAATATATCAGAGTTGGAAGATTTGCTTCGTTCAGTTTTGCCGGTAGAAGGTGACTACTGCATATCGTACGTTCGGAGCTCTAAAGACAGGCAAGAAATAATGTTGCTCAAGTGTAGCGATTATCTTCGTGTCATAGCGACGACAGAACAGAAATCAGACAGTTGCTAGAATACCTGACCGAGTGATTGAACACAATAGCACTAGAACAAACCACTTTTAATACTTTTCGAATATCATCCGCTGCTCTGTATGCAGCTTAACAACATGACTCTCTTTAGTCCATAATCATATGCGTCATCTAGCAATTTTCATTATCGTAGACATATTTAATATTTGTATAGCATTGCCGCGTTACACCTTGCCAGAAATTTATACAAAATCTGTATAGGATATTACACAGTCGAAGGAAGTCCATGCAAATGTTTTTTTTCTCTTGTCACATTTCACTTGTTGAATATATGCCTAGATTGCATCGTATAATTTAGTACAGTGATCGTAAATACTGTATACTTAAGCTTTCTGTTTTATTAATATCTAATCAAAGTCAGCTGTTGTAACCCTACCTGCCAGTAGATGCTATACAGAAGCCACTTTTATATTTCAGATCAGCAGGTGAAGTATAAATATTGAAAGTTTTTTGATAAAAAAGTTTTATTGAAAAATGGCTATAGGCAGATCAAAGAAAAAGTTAATGACCAAAGACATGGAACAACACCGCGAGTATATGAAAAAATACAGGACGCAATCGTGCGATTTAAATAAGCAGGAGATACAGTATAAAGATTATTATGAACTTCTGGGTATCTCACGTGATGCTCCACATACGGAAGTGAGTCTGTTGCAAACTAATAAAGTGATAAGTTATTAGTAGTACATTAACAAAGACTCTTCTTTCTTTTTTGCTCTGTATGTCATAGATCCGTAGAGCTTATCGTAAGCTGGCACTCAAGTGCCATCCAGATAGAAAACCGAGCTCCGAGGCGCTAAGACGGTGGGAGGGCGTACCAGCGGCCTACGCAGTCTTGTCGAACCCAAACGACCGCAGCGAGTACGACGCCACGCTGCCAACGCGTGATGCTTTAGTTGAGTTTTATCGTACCTATAATCCGGCCAAGCTGGACAATGTCACCATTCAGACCATTATTGATGGCTGGTATGGTCGTGAGGTGGAACTTTTTGAGATGCTCAATGCCAAGTACGAGGTGGCACCACATCAAGGACCTATTAATAGTGCCCAGTGTGCTGCTGTGACCTCGGTCTCGCGTGAAAAGGCGCATACGATTGCGAGGGATAGCCAGACGTACAAAGCGAAGGATGCTGGGAATGCTGAGATAACGTGGACAGGTACCATTGGATCTGCTCTCTGCTGCAAAGGCGTGCTCTCGCGCTTGTTCAGCTCTATGTACTACGAGGTGAATACCACCAGCCCGGGCTTCTTGAGGTCCCATGACGCTTCAGACACTCCGGGTCAGACGATCTCGATGAATTTGGAGTCCCCTGCGACCCCATCCCAGTTGTCAGCGCCTGTAAGCCCAGAATTGGAACCGCCATTTGACAAAGAAAATTTGGCATCAGCTCTCGGCGGATTGCCACCAAGTGGCGATGGGAACTGCCGCACAAGGACAGGAGATATTTTACCGCAGGATTTACGAACAGAACAGTCAAATGTAGCAGACAAAGTTCGCGGCTGAGTTGGGGTGTCAGAGATAGATGCTGAATAAATTATCAATTGTTTTTCTACGCTGCCCGTTCGTAATTGATGGAACAACTGAAGCGCAGGAGCTGCGCTGTGCAAAATGTGCTCGATATAGCGCCTTTGAGCTCTGCTTTCGTCATCCAGTCCTTATTTCGATGGCTTTTTTTCAGGTGCTCAATGGGAACGAAGACTGATCCATCGATAACAAGCCCAATCTCAGGCTAAGTCCATCCTTTAAAAGACATTAAACAGCACAACAGCTTTGTCATCCTCCAGTTCTTGAGTTCTAGAGGTGAATGGATGACGGAAAACAACATTCTTTGAGATGGTCTCACTTTTCAACGAGGCTGTTGTAGTTTTTTGAAACGGTCAAGAAGTCATGACTTCAGAATCTCTGCAGCCTTCATGTTTAAGTTGAATCCGCAATCGCAGAGGTACTATATATGATAGTCAAAATTGGCCGTGATGCTTCTAGTCTCTACTTTTGGACAACTAAACATTGTTTGCCAATGGCTTAACCCAAGTGCTTCAGTCGAAACTGAATCATCAACATCGTGGCAAAGTTATGAATTAATACTCCATATGCCCTTGCAGGAGCTCCAATTCTTGGTACCAACATGGCAACAATAGGCTCGTCACACACAAATTATATTTGATTAGGCATCGAGGCGAGAACTGCATTTCAGTCCATTCAATAGCTTCTGTATAAAAAATGACCTCTTAGTACGTGGACCATGTGGCAGCTAAACGTCCAGACAAATACCAAAAACTAGCCCATCCGGAAGTCGAGGCTTTACTAATTTTGTAATCGTTCAATCACGTCAAATACAGATGGTCGCGCAGTAGTGTCTTGGGTCAGGATCCATCTACGGCACCATGACAACAAGTCATCAGACCGCCAGCTAGCCATTCTTTCTACGCAACGCAAACATACCGAATCATCTCGCAAAATTTTGGCGAGTACGGGCAATTTTTGGGGAACTTAATTGGTCCGATAATTGCTAAATATGTGCACTCGACGACGCGCACGACGCCCGAGTCGTAGAAAGAACATTCGAATGGGGAGTACCCAAATGCCATGGAATACAACAAACAGCCCAGCGACCACACATCGGTGGCACTGGATATATGGGTGAAATCCGGCACATCATAGAGCTCTACAGATGCAAAGAACGTGTCATCAAGTAGATAGCATAAAATCAGATGAGCAACTTTTGTCTTACCTGGTGCACGATACGCCATTGAGCTGTGCTGTGCAGCGTGCTCTTGCAGCAAGCGAGCATCTGAGCGCTTTGAGATAATGACATCAGCCGGGGTGACCGAGCCAAAGTCCGTCAGCAGCGGGTCACCATCGTCTGACAACATGATATTGTCCGGCTGAAGGAACGCAAACGTTAGAAATATACCCAATACAAACTACTGGATACGCGATAACCACCTACTTTGATATCACGATGTGCTAGAGGTGGCGATTTGAGGTGCAACTCTGCTACAGCTCGACAAATCTGAAGGAACATATCAAGAATTTGCGCTTCTGTGATCCGCACGTCTTGGCTGTTCACCATATCAATCAACTACACTCTTTTAATTGCAGTCTCCATCTATCCAGCTAAGCTTTAGTACCTGATTGCAGTGTCAATCATCTCCCGCAATGTCCCGTTCTGTCCACGATAGAAAACAATTCAAGTCATTAAATGCCAATTGCATTTGCATATTAAAATTCACACTTAAAGCACCTCCATGAAGGGGAAGAGTAAATAATACTCGAACGTTTCTGGTCCAGTTGACACCACAGCGTAATCATTCAATGGCATAATATTTGGATGATTAAAGGCCTTGTGCGTCTGGATCTCTGCCTTGACCGACTGTACTTGCTCATGTGTCTGACATAATATCTTCTTGAGTGCAAATGCTTCACCTGTGTCACTATCTCTTGCCTTGTATACAATAGAAAATCCACCTTGAGCAATCTCCGAGCAGATATTGACCCTATAAAACGTACAATAGAAACACAATAGAAATACGTTAGAAATGTCAGAGGAAGATCAAGTCGGAGACACGTACGTCCGACCGCTCTGCATACGGATAGAGTGCGAATACCCAAGACATGAGAGTAGTCGCTGTGCCGCATAAATAGGAAATAATGTCACAGTGGAGCAAATCCTTCCTGACGTCGCGGCGGCTGATTGCCTCGCAACCGGTAAGAACGATTCTTTCTCGGTCATGTCACTCAAAGTGATACCCATGGAATAGAAACGTATCGATGAGGTTAGAAACTAATGCCAGGATAGAAACGTCTTAATGACATTTTGTGACACTTGATAATGACAGGTGGACAATATCTGCGACGTGGTACGACTAGCGGAAGGCGCTCGATTGTATCAACTACAGCAGCAGCAGCAGTGAGGCCTCCAAGTGGTCGAAAGAGTGTGTTATTAGACGGCAACAATGCACTCTATCATTTTTACGATCCATTGTCAACCGTCGAGCAGTACGTAGAACAATGGCACTTTCGTCGCATTTGCTGCCCCGAGTGAATGAATGCTCTTGTTTAACTTGAATTGAATGCACAGTAATGGAATTCAAACGAGTGCAGTGGATGGACTGATGCGACTATTGCGAAGAATGGACAAAGTACATGCGCCTCAGCACATTTCCGTCGTGTTTGACTCGAAACAGCGTCTCACTACTCGAGGAATTTTACAACCAAGCTACAAGAGAGACCGAGCTCCGACGCCACGTTCACTGGTATCACAGTTTGCATACGCCAAGAAGATCTTGGAAATGGCCAAAGTGAATTGTATTGAGTGTCCGGGACTAGAGGCAGATGACATCATTGCCTCTTACTCGACTCAGTACACAGCCGTAGGGTTTGACGTGCTGCTCGTTTCCAATGATAATGACTTCTTACAGCTTGTGCAGGGCGGTGACAGTGCCAACCTGTCTGCTACATCTCCTGTGGTGGAACTCTACCAACCATCCAAACGCCGGTACGTCCGCGAGCGAAATATAAGAGCGAGGTTTGGATTGCATCCCAAGTTGCTTCCTGATTTCCACGCACTTTGTGGTCACAAATGGAAAAAACTTCCGAGGGTGGACAACTTGGCCGATGACGTGGCGGTACAGTTGCTTACCCAGTATGGCGGACTCTATCCGTTGTTGCGCCATCTAGACGAACTCGACGATTCAATACTGTGCAATACATTAAAGCGGTGCATCACCTCTATTGAATCCTCCTACCGGATGGTCAAACTTGTCGACTCGGTCACTTTGCCCGTAGCGATCGAGAAATTGCATCAACCCCAGTTCAAATAGTGTTCACGTTATACCAAACAAAACAACCAACACCACCAGACAGAAATAGAGGTAAAAGACCATTTAAAGCAGTAAAGTGACTCAACTTAGCTTTGTTCACCTCGTCACGCATCGACTGTCATATCCTCTGCCTCGTCAATTGTTTGGTTATCACCCGTTGCCTCCTTAATACCGTTGAATTGCCCAATATGATTAACTGATACGGGCTTCGTCTCGATTTCTCGACGCTCATCACCTTCGCTACCTCCACCGCTGCTTTCTTGAATACCTGCCCGAGTCTCCTTGCTTTTCATTTTAATAAGATCAAAACGCTCTTTTGTGCGGCGCGTAGAAAACCATGTCTCGATCTGCTGCATCGTCAGTCCCATGGCATTTGCAGAGTATTCGTTGATGTGGTCAACTTGGTTCAAAATCTTCAGTAATTCCTCCAGTCGAGCCATAGTCGGTCGCGGGTTCTTTTCGTACTCCTCAATAATTGTGGCTAGCTGCTTTACATTAAAGAACCGCCCTGCGTGTATGCTGCCTGCCACCTCATCATCGCTCTTTTTTGTAATCATTGCATTCTTGTATTCCGCGGCTGCAGCCTCAGAAGGAGCAGGCTGGACAGGTGTCTCCACTTTGGGACGTTTGACGCTGATATTGTCGTCGCCGGACAGTCCTTTCCGCTTAGCACCAAAGACACTAAGACTAGGGGTCATCGAATTCAGTGTGGACTTCGTACGCCCTTTGTCAGATAAATTGTCGTCATCCGACTCCGTGTCGCTTGAGCTAGACGAGTTTAACACAGCGTCTTCAATGTGCAAATCCGCACCACTCAAAGCCTGAGGAGGCTGGTTTGCCGAGCGCCGCTTATAAAACCAGCAGCGAATTTGCTTGTAATCAATCGACCGCTGGGCTGCATCGCTTGACGGGTCCATGGACGCAATCCCATTTAATCGCGCCGCGATTTTATCCAGCTTTTTCTTGCTTGGTGTGTCTTCCTTGTGAAAATACTTCTCAAGCTTCACCAGCTGAGCCAGAGAGAACTTGACACGTGGTCGCCGCGATTCCGGTGAAGGCGCTGGACCTGAAATTGGTGAAGACCCGGGAGTTCCAGGCAAAGATTCTGTGTCCATGCTTAGCAACAAAGGCCGTGATTTTTCTTTTCGTTTCTTGCTACTGATTGTCTCCCCGACCATTGTCGCGACCACGGTCGGTGTATCACCATTCTCCGCTATAAACTGAAACTCTTCCTGTAACTTCTTCGTCTGTCGCACAAGCTCTTTGTTGTCTTTGTGCGCTAGGAGAACTAATTCCAATTGCTGCTGAATGCCCGATTCAATCAGGATGACGTGGGGAACAATAAGCGACAAGAGTAACTCGATAATGTCAGTGAGTTCCTCAGCGGGCGCATCTTCCTCCAGCAACTTCAGCATTTTCATCTTAATATGTAATACTTCCTCCATGCCCAAGGGTTTTGACGGTCCAGTGCGCGCATTCTTGTACGGAACATGTAATCTTTCTCGCGCGCGCTCAATTGCAGCAGTGCGCAGCGCTCTGGTTTCTTCTTCGCTCTTACCAGCGTCACGCGCATCTTTAATAGTCTTCCTCACGGAAGCCACATAATCAATTCGTATGCGCTTCTTTTGGCCACTGGATCCAAAAGAACTGGGATACCTAAGGTTTTCAATCCCATCCTTAGTTGCGTTCACCAACTCACTGTTTGCTTTTCCTGTGCCAGACAGGCTAGCTCTAGATACCCTTCCATATATGGATTGATCCGCAGTATTTGCGATAAGAGCCATGTCCGCTTCGTCGACAACTTGGCCGGACCCCTGTCCATTCTCACGCATCCGTGATACGCGTGCCTCGAGCACTTCTTTAGCCTCGTCAATATATGCGGCTTTCATCTTCTTAACACTGTCGGCATCCATGTCAGTAGTTGAAATGTCCTTCATCTTCAGGCGCATGTAATCAAGGCGCTCTTTTGCACGTCGGTTGTCAAACCAAATGCGAATTTGCTTCACTGAGATACCCTCGGGTTGCAATTCCGGATCCGCATAGTCGGGGCAATTTATGATGCGATACATCGAGTGAATCTCACTAGACTCTGGTCGCGATGACCGCTGGTACCATTCCTCCAACTTCTGAATCTGTTTCGATGAATACAAGCGGCTGGCGCCACTCTTTCCCTTCGATCCCGACGCAGATCGGCCTCCTGTTCCAGTTGATCCCTGCGATTTTCTAGATCCGCTACTTGACGCCCCCTTGCGGTCTTCGTTTGGTGCTACCACAACCTCTTTCATTAAGTCAATCTCAAACTGGATACCTGCAACCTGCAGTTGCTCAAAAAGCTGCTTTAAAGAGCCCAACCCATTGTACACGCGACGCAATAGGATATCCTTCTCAGACACTGTTGATGACGCCGCGGCGTTCCATCCAGCTGGAGTTCTATTGCTACCATCTGCGTGCGGATTGTTGTCGTTTGTTGCAATAATCTGGGCAGAAGACGCAGAAGATGCATGCATTGACGACGATGTAGGGACCAGCAGAAACGGAGGCGGGGAAGGAGATGACACTTGCTGTTTCTGCTGCATATGCTTCACATCATAATTGCTGTTGCCAGAGCTAGCATCGTAAACGACTCCATGTAAAGGGCTTTCAAGCCAAGTCGGACCCATGATGCTGTTAATCTCTTTTGTGAGTGTTTGCGAGATGTGCAGCATCTCCACTGTTTGCTCCAGTATCGTAGCATTTATATTTTTTCCCGCGCGCAAGGCTAGATCAGTCAAACGCTGTACTTCGAACTCTGTTTCCGCACCTGTTAACCCTCCACCTAGCCCGTATCTATCATCGTTATCCATCTTGCCTCGTATCATAGATGAGGATTTCACGACGCGGTTCACGCGTCCCTTAACAGAAGAATCGACGCGTTGCTGTTTGCGAGGGGTGCTGGTAGATAGTTTCTCAGCTTGATCACTCTTTTCAGTAGGTTCGCAGTCTGGACAATACCATTGGCGATTAGGTCCCTGTATCACTTTCGAAAACTGTTGCCGAAAGCAGCTCGTATGGTACATGCATTTGCACTGAACACATAACAGTGCACGTCGTCCATTGCGTGGTTCATGACACACTTCACACTCTTTCCGTGCAACAGTACGACGACGTGCTGCAATGATTGTACCTACATTAGAGGTACCTGACTTGAGCAATAGAGTTGTAGGGTTTCTTTCCACATTTTCAATACTGGTGATATCAAGATTAGGCGATAAGACGCGGTTGAAAGCCGCTTCAGATGTCAAGTCCGTCTCGTTGTGCATTGGCATTTGCTTGTGATTATTATCCTCGTCCAAATTAAAAGGCGAAAGAATCTGCGACAATTTTGCAGTCTTTGAAATTGTATCGTCCTCTTCATCAGTCTCAGGACGTCGAGAGGTAGCACTGCTGTCTAACTCATCGTCAAAAGGGGCTTTAGTTGAATCGTCGTCGTCGTCATCCTTTTTGGCTTTTACACCACCTTCTTCACCATTTTTTGTATCTTTTCCTGCAATCGATTTTACTTGATGATGGTGGATCTGATCCAAACAATGGGCACTGGGTCTTACTGCTGGTAAGAAAAGACCCTTCCTATCGCTTTTATTAGACACCGTATCTTCGTCTTCGTCCTCTGAAACATCATCATCATCATCTGAAGTCGAATGAAGCTTGCTTTTATACACTAGTAGTGCCTTTTTGCGCTCTGTCGCGTCGTTTATCACCATCTTTTCCTCCATCTCAACGTCTCCCATTAATTAAACGGTATTAATGTTATGGTAGGCGGGGAAGGAAGGGTATAAGGTGATAATTCGTACAGTACAGTCTCGAGTAAGTTCGAAGAAGATTTTTACTGATTTGTGTGTGTGACACGGATGTACAAAACAACAGGTAAGTCACGTATCCGATATCCTCCGATACTTGATATATTTGTTAAACAAAAAAACTATATATATTAATTGCCAGAGAATTGACGAGTCGATTCAGGAGCCAAAAAAAGATGGGGATTGTCTGCATCTTTTAAGAGCATAGTATAGTGAATAGCGAGAGACATGCTGTTTAATTTAGCCAGTTACCAAACAGATATTCATATCTGAACTTATGAAAAAAAGGGAATTGTCTGCATCTTTAAGTTCATAACATTGTAAATTGAGACACAAGAGGATTTGCTTTTCATTTTTAGCCAGTAGCAAGCAGATATTTGTATTGAACTTGTGGCTGTCTAAAAAAAAGATGGGGAGTGTCTGCGTCTTTTAACGAGATTGGTGCCAGTAAAAATGAACATACAAAATTGCTGTATATTATCGCCACTACAAACCAACTAATACTGTACTTTTCTGGCATCTAATCACGGATGAGGTCTTACAGTACATGCTCCCTCCCCACTCTTCATTTTACTCTGAAACCTCCACATCGCTTTAATTTTCACGATGCCGATCAAGGCCAACAAAATGTCGCTTGCAAAGATGCTGTTTGTTATCATGCTCGTGGTTCGTTGGACCATGGGAACGGCGACGGCAGATCTGCCACCAGAGGATGCCCCACGCACCTTACAGGCATCGGATACATTGTATGTGGATCTGACACCTCTTGCCTTGAGATAGAAGAGATACTTGAGGTCGGCCGTGAACATGATGACAATCACCACTGAGGAGTTGAATAAAATATCTGAAGTGGGAGTTGACGGACTTAAAAGCCTTGTGAAAAAACAGGAGACAACCCCTCTGCCACACTGCGTCGAAGTGTTAAAACGATTCCCTTTGAAGATATGTCACGTTCTCGAAGGCTATGGTGGCTGTAACGGGGTTACACGACGGTTGTAACGTCTTTCCGAGAGTTTACGCTTAAACTCTCCTTTGTATTGCATATAATGCATTATTATACTTCTCGTTAGAGAGGTATTAAGTATGAGCGTTAAGATACGGTATTCGGTAATACCGTATCTTACCGATTAGGATTCGATAAATCGATAACGCTCCATTAAGTACATCATACACAGATGTTAAGACGATACGTCGTTCAATAGCAAAGTCTGCATATAATAACTACTATTATAGTAATTAATCTAGTGTAGTGTACTTAAAGTAGGACTATTCATAATATCTTAAAGCATAAATAAAATCAGTTCTCCTTTTGAGTTTAAGACCACAAGTCGTTCTGACTTGTTCTCTTGTGCACTTCGTGCGTTGGTTCTCTGAACCCTAAGCTTCTAGCTTGCTCTTGCACTCTGTGCGTTGGTTCTCTGAACCTTAAGCTTATTGCTTGCTGACTAAGAGTCCCTCCTACTTCCTTAGAAGAGGGTGACTTTAACGTCGAATACTTAGTTCCTTAGAACTAAGTGGCTTTTAGCCTTAACTCTATTTAGTTCTCTCGAACTAAGAGGCTTCCAGCCGAAAGTCTTCCTCTGGCTAAAGAGCTGTGCAGCTCCGCTACACTTGGTAGCACTTGTAGTCAATCCTACACCTGAGTCTTTAAAGACTGACCCTCTGTGAGAATGGAGAATCAAAATCACCTCTCTGAGGCACAACGACTCGCCTTAGATAAACTATCTGCGTTCGTCGGGCCTGATCAAATCGAGGCCCTTTTGGCCCAAGGCCCCGAGGTTCTAAATGCTCGTCTTGAGGCCTTTATGCGTTATGAGGCAACGCTCCTCGGGCAGGTCCATGACCAGGCAGCGTCAGCCGCGCCTATACAGTACATTCCGGTACCTGTGACCGATGCAGAGCCAAAGGCTCGTCCACTTGTTTTAAGTGTCAAGACCTTCGAGGGGAAGGAGGGAGAGAACCTTCTCCTCTGGATCCGAGAAGTTGAAATGGCAATGGATGCCGCCATGCTTGCATCCGATAAGCAACGAGTTGGCTTGGCCATTTCTAAGCTCGGTGGAAGAGCTAGAGAGTGGGCTCTAACGAGCGGTGTCTCTGTAAATGCTGCATTTCCCACATGGGAGATGCTTAAAAAGCAATTAACTTGTGTGTTTGCACCGCCTAATCAGGCTTATCGTGTGCGCTCACGCTTCCTAGCTACCCGACAGGGTAAGAAAGAATTGTCGGACTATGTCCAAGAGTTGAGAACTCTCATTGCTGCTATGCAGCAGGACCCACTGGCAGAGGAAGTCCGAGTAACCATTTTTATGGAGGGACTTCGCACTGGGGTCGCCAGGACGGAAGTTTTCCGTGTCCAGCCTTCAACTTTTGAGGAGGCAGTAAGCGTAGCATTTAACGCTGAATTCAATTTTAAATCTGCTCGATATGGTCTGCCCTGGTATCAATCAAATACCTCTAATAGGGCGGAACCCATGGATCTCAGCCATGCTGAAGAAGCTGAGCTTCAAGCTGCTGAGCAGCAAGGTAGCATCCGTAGATGTTACATGTGCGGAAGCACTAGGCATCTCCGCCCTAGCTGTCCGTTGCGAAAGCAACGTTCAAATCGGCAAAGCCGAAGCCCTGCTCCTAGCCAAAAGGCGAGCACCGCAGGGGAAAATGTCGACTCCCAGTAGGCGCGGGGCGCCCTACTGGGAAAGAACTAAGTTCTGTTGAATCTTTAGGAGGTAAAGGTAAACAGGGCTTAGCCCCAGGTGGTTCTGTGGATGCTCCCATAGAACAAAATTACAAGCCAGGCTTGTTGGTTGTGTCGGCAACCGTTAAGGGTTTTGAGAAACCCTGGTCAATTTTAATTGACTCAGGGGCGTCAGGGAATTATGTCCGACGTCGCTCCCTTGAGGGGAGTCAGCTGTATGCTGAGGCGCTGGAAGCGCAAGAGGGTGACAGTATAACCGTACGTCTCGCGACTGGTGTACGTGTCACCGTTCCTAAAGTTCCGTTGAACTTAGGTGTGAAATTTTTAGATTTCAATAGCGTTGAACGCTGTCTTGTCCTAGATTTGGACTCGAGATATGATCTCATTCTCGGTATGGCCTGGCTGGAACGCCATGAGCCGTGGATCGATTGGAGATCCAAAACTTTAGGCGCAACGCGCAATGTTCCTAGCGAAGCTTTGGAGAGTCATGAACCCACCTTCGCTAGAAAACAAAAGTGCTATTGGCGCGAGCCATTAACTGATTCAGTTAATGTGCTGGACATTGGAGTGTCTGAGTTGATAAACTCCGATGTCAACAATAATAGTGTCGAGCAGAGCTCAATGACACTTAGTGGAACGGCACGTACTCCGTTAAGTGATACTCATAGTAATATTGGCTGTAAATGCGATTTACTGGATGTCGGTAATGACATCGGCTCTCGTATAGAGCGAGTGAAGGTCAATGACCTTGTTAGTGAAGTCACTGGTACTAGTGACCCACTGGATGTCGGTAATGACATCGGCTCTCGTATAGAGCAAGTTAAGGTCAATGACCTTGTTAGTGATATTGGCTGTAAATGCGATTCACTGGATGTCGATAATGACATCGGCTCTCGTATAGAGCAAGTTAAGGTCGATGACCTTGTTAGTGATATTGGCTGGAAATGCGATTCACTGGATGTCGGTAATGACATCGGCTCTCGTATAGAGCGAGTGAAGGTCAATGACCTTGTTAGTGAAGTCACTGGTACTAGTGACCCACTGGGTGTCGGTAATGACATCGGCTCTCGTATAGAGCGAGTGAAGGTCAATGACCTTGTTAGTGAAGTCACTGGTACTAGTGACCCATTGGGTGTCGGTAATGACATCGGCCCTTACATAGGGCAGGTAAACGACAAGGGGTCTGTTGACCTTGGGGATGATAACATCCCAAGTACTTTGAAGAGTACGGTCTCGTCAAGGAGACGGCAGCGTCGCCAGATGGCGGCTGCGAGACGCAAAGCGTCTGTTTTATCGCATAGTAATGTCAATGACCAGTTGTACACCCTGGTCAACGGAGTGACAGGTGATGTAGATGGTGAGGTTGACCTTGAGGCCCTCCCATCATTAAATGCTCTTTTAGAGCTAGGCGAAATGTCTGTGGATGAATTTCATCAGGCCTTGAAGGCAGGTGCTCTGTCCGATATGGTGGTCATTCGACCTAACCTCGAGCTGAACTCATCCTCGCTTGTCGATGAGACAGTCCTTGAAGATACCAAAGCGGCACTAAGTGCACGTAGTGGGGCATCTATTCTAAAGGACCCTTCAGATCCCTACTATCCTTTGGTAAAAGAATTCCAGGACGTGGTGTGTCACGATCCACCGTCGGTTCTACCACCTGATAGGGGCGTACGTCATGAAATTGACTTGGTTCCCGGAACCAAATATTGAACAAATACTGTGTAACACGGCAGTGGCCTTTACCCAAAGAACAGTGTGACGTCATTGACGAGTTCTTTCGTGCAAAGCACGCGGCGGGCATGGTGCGTGAAAGTAAATCTCCGCACTCGACACCCACTTTCTGTGTTAAGAAACCAAATGGTAAATGGCGTATTGTTCATGCTTATAATAAGCTCAATGCGGCCACTATACCTGCACAGACACCGATACCTAGAAAGGATGTTCTTCAGAACAATATGGTCGGTTGTACCATGTACAGTGCGCTCGACTTAGTCGATGGTTATTACCAATTGCTCATGCGAGCTAGTGATATTCCGCTTACTGCTGTTAGTACTCCGAGCGGTATGCTCTGGGAGTGGTTAGTGATGCCCCAAGGGCTATCTAATGCTCCGGCTACGTTTAACCGTTTGGTGACGCAATTGTTTCGACCCCATCGAAGTTATGCACAGACGTATTTTGATGACATTTTTGTCCATAGCCGAGCTGAACATGGGCGGTCAGATATTGAGAACCATATTGTTCATTTACGAGCAGTGCTCGAGTGCATGCGCACTAATAAATTATATGCTAATGCCTCTAAGTGCATCTTCGGGGCCGAAGAAATTCCCTTTCTAGGGTGCTTCATTGGGAAGCGAGGACTACGAGCGGATCCCGCCAAAGTCAAAGCCATAGTCGATTGGCCTGTTCCACAATCTCAGAAGGACTTGCGTAAATGGCTTGGCCTTGCCAATTACTTACACAAGTATAGCGAAAATTACGCTGATATGGCTCGGCCGTTATCCAATCTCCTTAAAAAGGATGTGGAATGGTGTTGGCATGCCGAACACGAAAATGCTTTTCAAGCAGTGAAGGCAAGCCTTCTACATGCTCCTATTTTGGCTTTGCCAGACCCTGACCGACCGTTTAGCGTCGTCTGTGACGCATCGGATTTTGCCATTGGCAGTGCTCTGTTACAATCAGATGATGAAGGCCGTGAGCGTGTAATCGCTTTTGAATCTCGCCAGCTGAAAGCTGCAGAAAAGAACTATCCAGTTCACGACAAAGAGCTACTTGCGATGAAGTATGCCCTGGTCAAATTCAGAGTTCATCTGCTGGGCTCAAAGCCTTTTGTGATCTATACCGATCATGCGTCGTTACGCACTGCGACTCAGTCGCCGCATCTCTCGCAGAGAATGGCCAGATGGCTGTCATTCTTTGCCGAATATAACTTCGAGGTGAAATATAAGCCGGGCAAGCAAAATGCTTTGGCTGATGCGTTGTCACGCAGACCTGATTATGAGCTTGCTCATGTGACGATGTTGTCGTCTTCTATCACCGATCTCATTCGTACGGCGTATGCTAAAGATGATCACTGTATAGCGTTGCTACATGCTCTTGGCAGTGAGGAGTTTAAAGACTCGGACATTAAATTGTCGGCACGATTGCGTGCAAGCCTCCATCGATATTCTATCGATGAGGGGCTGTTGTACTATCGTACAGATGTAGCGGATCCTCCGCGTATTGTAGTTCCTCATGACGAGGACCTGAAGCATCGTATCCTCTATGAGGTACATGACACCGCCATCGGTGGTCATTTGGGTCGTGAAAAGACCTATGGGGCAGTATGCCAAAGTTATTGGTGGCCCAAATTATACAAATGGGTGAGCACATATGTGCGTACGTGTGAAATGTGTCAGCGGGTGAAACCCTCGCCCCATTCGGCAGCGCCGCTGGCTAGTTTGCCTATTCCCACTGGGTGCTGGGAGTCCATTAGTATGGACTTTGTATTTGGCCTACCGAGAGATTCGCATGGCAATACAGGTATTGTGGTCTTTGTTGACCGTTTGAGCAAGATGGCTCACTTAGCGGCTGTGCCAGATTCGATCGATGGTGTGGGTACAGCGGAGCTGTTTATCGATCGGGTGTTTCGCCAACATGGCTTGCCAGTGGCAATTGTTTCTGATCGTGATCCTCGTTTTACGAGTAAATTTTGGAAGTCCGTCTTCCAGGTGCTGGGCACCCGTTTGGACATGTCCACGGCGGATCATCCGCAGACCGATGGTCAAACCGAACGCGTAAATCGCGTTGTTGAAGATATCCTACGCAGCGTTTGTGCTGAAACGCCTAAGCGTTGGAGCTCTATGCTCCCTGTAGTTGAGTTTGCACTCAATAATTCCGTGCACGCCTCCACCGGCTACACTCCGTTCTATGTCAATGGTCTCACACACCCACGCGTTCCGTTAACGCTACCACCGAGTGGTTCAGGGCTTGGTGGGGGAGAGGTTGCCGATCGGCTTGCTGATGTCAGCCCTAATACTGTTAGGAAACAGGTAAATGCGTTTCTCGCAACGCGACTAAATGTCTTACGACATGTGCAAGATGCAATGGCTGATAGTCAAGATAAACAAAAGGAATATGCAGATGCGAAAGGCAGAGGTTGTATTAATGATTATGAGGTCGGAGACCAAGTATTACTTAATGCTAAAAACCTACCTACCAATGTAGTATCCGCTGTCTTTAAGACGAAGTTGCGTCCGCGCTTTATCGGACCCTTTAAGGTCATTGCCAAGAAAGGCACAGCGTATACGCTTAACTTGCCGCGCAAATTGCGTACACATCCTGTGTTCTATGTCGCCATGCTAAAACCTTATCGGGATCCGTCCCAAATAGACGCTAAGGCGCTCGCGCCGGGCCCATTGGCATTGTCGCGGGACGGAGCATCTGCACCAACAAGTCAAGTTGACCCTGCATTCGGGTCCGACTCTCTTCCAGGGACTCAAGCCGGGAGTTCATCGTCTGCCTCTCCTCACGAAGGGTCCGCACCTCCTGAACAAGCTCGGCATGAGCTTGTTCCGATACACCGACCTCCTCCTCCTTTGCTCGATGCGCAGGGGAACCTGCAGTTCCATGTGGAGCGTCTACTGCAGAAGCGTCGCCGCCATGGTCAAAACCAGTATCTGGTGAAATGGCGGGGTTATCCCGAATCATGGAATTCATGGGAATTTGAGACTCCCCTTCGGCAGGATTGCCCGTACGCCGTGGACGTTTTTGAGCGTCGTGCGCAGGGTCTGTCTGTTGGCGCTGACGCTTCTCACCAGTAAGGGTGAGGGTAGGCGGGTTAGCGGCCTCGGGCTGTCGTGAACTCGCGGCTACAGGGGTAGCCGAAACATTGGGCTGCTGGGCAGCAGGCGCATAATGCGTTCGTTGGGATTTCAATTTCCCCCGGGCCTTCAATTTAGCGTAATCATAACGCATCTTCCGCTCAAGTCGGATATCTGCCACATCGGCGCTTGCCCGTAGGGCCCACATGCTGCTTAAACGTCGCGCATAATGCGCCCAGCGGCTGAAAGCCGTGTCTTCTTCGTCCTCGGTTTCCCCCGCGAACAGAAGGATGGGAACACCCTTCATCGGAGGAACTGGCGCACCGCGCACTTGCCTATTAAGGCGTGCCAAGTATTGGCTTTGAGTAGTGATATGGGGCTCCAGATATCGTTGTCGAAGTGCCGTGCGTGTGGCAACATCCTCAGGTGAAATGGCCTCAGGCCCAATGGTCCAACCAGAAAGGGAATGCCCAGATGCTTCCTTTAGACGTTCTTCCACCGTAGGTGGCTTGAACCTGTACTGTCGGTGGTCCTGCAGCCGCGTCATGTTCTTCGTTCGGCGCTTGGCGCCTTCCTCTTGGTCGATGGACCGCTGTTGCTGCTCGTCGAGTGGATTGGTAACCGTTACCGTTGATGATACGTCAGGCGGGTCACGTAACGCTGTTAGCGCATCTGCTGCACCACGTTCAGGGAACGGATTCGGTGCATGACGAGTGTCATCTTCACCCGTGAGGGTGGCTAAAGGGGACCCATCGGGTCCCACAAAGACGGTGTCACTTTCGTAATCAACCGCTTCGTCAAGGTCGTCCTCAATGAGGTCCCTAAGAGTCTGTGACTCACTGCCGGGAGGCGTCATGTTGTGTGCCGTGAACAAACCGTGAGGTTTTAAAAGTTCGCTAAAGCACTACCTCTATGAGGAAAGATGTCGAGTGACATTCTATGGGAACGTCAGTCTGGTGGGGGAGGGTGTAACGGGGTTACACGACGGTTGTAACGTCTTTCCGAGAGTTTACGCTTAAACTCTCCTTTGTATTGCATATAATGCATTATTATACTTCTCGTTAGAGAGGTATTAAGTATGAGCGTTAAGATACGGTATTCGGTAATACCGTATCTTACCGATTAGGATTCGATGAATCGATAACGCTCCATTAAGTACATCATACACAGATGTTAAGACGATACGTCGTTCAATAGCAAAGTCTGCATATAATAACTACTATTATAGTAATTAATCTAGTGTAGTGTACTTAAAGTAGGACTATTCATAATATCTTAAAGCATAAATAAAATCAGTTCTCCTTTTGAGTTTAAGACCACAAGTCGTTCTGACTTGTTCTCTTGTGCACTTCGTGCGTTGGTTCTCTGAACCCTAAGCTTCTAGCTTGCTCTTGCACTCTGTGCGTTGGTTCTCTGAACCTTAAGCTTATTGCTTGCTGACTAAGAGTCCCTCCTACTTCCTTAGAAGAGGGTGACTTTAACGTCGAATACTTAGTTCCTTAGAACTAAGTGGCTTTTAGCCTTAACTCTATTTAGTTCTCTCGAACTAAGAGGCTTCCAGCCGAAAGTCTTCCTCTGGCTAAAGAGCTGTGCAGCTCCGCTACAGTGGCTGTTGTCTAACAGATTTAGAACCCCTGAAAGGGTCTTTATGTCGCTGAAGCTCGATGAAGGAAAAAAGCCATTGGAAAACCCACTGTTTTCCTTGTGGGAATATTTTGTCAAGAAAACCACGCGTGAGATAGACGTGACCAAGGTGATGATAAAAGCTATGGTTAATGCATTGGGAGGTGAAAAGAAACTGGCCGAGATCCTTCTTCAAGCAAAGACTTCAGAAAGGAAATCTATATGCGATAAAGCTAGATATCTTTTTTCTTATCAAACTCACTACTGGATTCGAAATTCCTACACGCCAGAGGCTGTGTTCGAACTTCTGGGTCTCAACGATAAAAAGAATATCAAAGAAGTGGGCCCAGACGATTTTTACGCTTTAAAACATTCTTTAATTTTTATTAAAGAACCGACTATAGAGAATTTATTGAAAGCATCGGACTCCAAGGAGCCATTGAAACCATCGGACTCCAAGGAGCCATTGAAACCATCGGACTCCAAGGAGCCATTGAAACCATCGGACTCAAAGGAGCCATTGAAACCATCGGACTCAAAGGAGCCATCGAAACCATCGGACTCAAAAGAGCCATCGGAACCATCGGACTCAAAGGAGCCATCGGAACCATCAGATTTAAAGGAGCCATCGGAACCATCGGAAACAACAGATCTGACTCAGAGTTCGCTTGGAAAGCTTTGGATCGAACACGTGTTAACAGTAGCAAAAAGTGGCCCTAGTTTTAAGTTAAACGAACGTGATAAAGGGTACGTGGTAGATGTTATAAGTAAACTCAAACGGAGCGTTTCTCCGAGTGCGGCCGTATACGTGATGCTAAGAGTGTTAGAAGGAGGCGCGGTTTCCCTTAAATAGCTGAAGAAGAAAAGCTTTACTAAGAAAATTGAGAAAATTGAGTCGTTTATGAAGACTTTTAAGTAATTTAATGGCAAAGAATCTCAAGTAGATATTTGGATGACGGGGCAGAGCTGGTGGAGGAAATTTTGCTACACTCCATAATCAGTATCGGAGATTCTGGTACCTCGATTTTGACGTTGTGGGACAGAGAGTGAAGTGGGTGCTGGTTTTTTGGCTGGTAAAATTAACACTTTTCATACTTTTTTCATTTGTTTTGTGTGAAGTTGGAAGTCTTATCTGCTACTGATTCTAGAGTACAGCCACGATACTAACGCACAAACACTACAAACAATTGACGCAATAGCAGCCTTAGCTGTCTGACAAATGTTGTCTTCTTGCCTGCTTACTGTCGACTGGGAAGCAGTTGGAGGTGATTTTGACCAAGTAATCGCATCATTGTCCTGGACTTACTGCGTGTATGTGCCACATCAAATCCAACGTATCGACGACGCTCGGGTCCCCGTTCGAAAGTCCATGCAAAGTACTCAACAATTTCCAACCAATCGTGATCATCACTGCGACATTCGTCATTGATGTCTCAGTATCATCGGTCGTCATCCCAGAGCGTGGATCGCTCTTTTTACCATCGCCTCAGCCTTTGCTTCGATGGTTCGCGATGGTTGTTCCAAATGATACAGAAGCTAACAAGAAGATTGATTAACGTAAAGGAAGGACAAGGAACCATTCTAAATTAAGGTTGTTGAACCCATATATCCTTTGCCCAAGCCACGGACGGATGTTATTAAGGCCTATTTCCCGGGAAAAGTGTACCGCTCGACGTCACAGGATGTGGTATTCCGAGCTATGGCGGGAACACAGCCATTACGGTCCTTAAGGTATTAGCGTGGCTAAAGACTGGCTCCAATGCGATGCTTTCAGAGGCTATTCACTCGCTCGTGGACACCGGCAATCAGGCTATCCTTATCTTGGGTCTGAAGCAAGCGTCAGGTGTACCGGACAAGAAACATCAGTACGGATACGTACTCGCTGCGTACTTTTGGTCGCTCATCTCTGCATTGGGCATTTTCTGGTTAGGCTCAGGTGTGACTGTTGTTCACGGGATCTAGTCGATCCTGGAGCCTCCAAAAGAGCTCACACTGTCATGGGAGATCTGATGCGTGCTTGCGGCTTCTTTCAGCATCGACGGATGGGTCAGTACAGAAACTACTGGCCACCAAACCCAAAAACATGTCGTTTTATCAGCACGTGAAGCGGACGAAAGACCCGTTTATGATGGCTGTCTGCTCGAGGATCTCTCGGCCTGTGTGGGTGTTATTATTGCTGGATGCGGCATCGGGGACAGCCAGATTACCGGCAACACGCTGTGGGATAGCCTCGCAAGTGTTTCTATTGGTGTGCTTCTTGGTGGTGTTGCAGTATCACTAATCTGCCTGAACCAAAAGTATTTATTGGGTCAGTCAGTGGAGCCAGAAATTGAGAATGGTATCCGTGAGTCGTTGCTGGCACGTCCGTCCATTGACAACGTGTATGCTGTCCAGTCACAGTGGGTTGGACTATCGACATTTAGCTTTAAGGTAAGACGGCAGCACAAAGCAACCTCTGCATGTACTCTGTTGTCTTGTGGCTCTGACCTGTGTGGATATACGACATTTGTAGGCTGAAGTGGACTTTGATGGAACGTACTTGGCAGCGAGACTATTACGAATGTTCGCGTGCTGGTCTGGTCATTCTATTGATACATGGTACTTACAATGCTGTCTTATTGTTTACTTTTGGTAGGTACAAGCCGGTATTTTTGGAATCAAAGGATTTGGAAAATGATCTATCACTCATTCTATCCTGGTACGCAGAGAATGTGTACTTTTGTCAATGATCTTGTGCGTCCTAGGCGACAGCAGCTTCTGTCCGCTGGGAAGCGGCGAGTGCGTCGACATGGACGAGCCCAAGAGCAACACTTTCGCTGCAAGAAACGACATCATGTCCACCTCCTTCGGCAAAGAGCACAGCAAATGCTGCTGAAAAGCAGGAGGCGGCGTCAGCACTTCAGCGTCTGTGGTGTCGTCATCGGTGCTCATCGAACTGGTCGGGCAATGGCTGACAGTGACTGGGAACTGCGTCTGCTGTAGATGCGTGTGGCTCCTATCCAGCTCAGGGGATTTCAGCAGTATATCGTCTGAATCAAACCAGTCCAGCAGAGGCAAAGCAAAGGCATCAGTCTCGTCGAAAAAAAGTCGTCCATGTGCAACTCGGCTTTCGCGTCGCAATATGGGAAGTAGCAACTCCAAGACAATGAGAGAGGTGACCCTTTCCAATGGCATATCTCATCGATAGAGCATGCTGAGGACGAAGAAATACTCTCTAAAACTCGGCAGGAGCTTTCCAAGAATGACCCCTCTACTCGAGGATATCGCGAGCAAGCGCACCGTGGATTGAGCTGGCAAGCGGCGATTGGCCACCGGAGTTTTGAAGTCACTACGGATACCTTGAACATCAGCAGTCAATAGGCACGGGACGTCTTGAAGCAAATAAACACTGCAACCAGTTGTTGGAGTTCTAATGCACTGGCAATCACCATCAACTGGTGCTGCAACTGACTGACACTGACACTGACGATGCAGCGCAGCGAGACCCAAGACGAACTCTTACAGCTTCAAAATGGACGCACGCCTGATAGCAGCCACTGCACTGAAGTACGCGGGCTAATAGACAAGAATCAAACGGCAGACGACCATCCGACGTACCTCGTCTTTGTCTACCAGCTACTCCGTCCAACCTGTTCCCCCCCTGCATACCAGCAAGAAGGCCATAGTGTACAAATGATCGGGTGCTGCAGAGGGTTGAGAAGCAAAAGAAAGACAAGGACGATAAGTACAAGAACACGGCACTTCCACCACATGCAGCATGATGCAGGGAAGAGGCATCACACACGATGCATTGTCTCCACTTTAATGCTGCGAGTGGGTGGACACGAGTAGATTGGTTGACATCTGCAACAGTAAACGAAGATGAAGAAGCATAACATATCAGTGCAGAGAGGCTGGCTGAAAAGTTTGTCGTGATTACGACTTTTTTGTAGACGAGCTAACAGCAGCAGCAGCAGCAGCAGCAAGAAACCGTTCCGGGGTTGATTACATTTCCACGCAACAAAAGCCGTTCTGCTGGCAAGTACATGCCTTACGTTGATGTGTAGTTGTCCCGGCGTCTGGTGATCGCCTCCAGGTACAGCAGCGGCGACTCGCGGCGTTTCATCCTGCGAGTTGCTCTTCGTCTTCTTGATGTAAGCATTTACCACCAGGTCCGCATCGTTCGCGAACCAAGTTAGTAGGCCTGGAGAAACCAACGAGGAAATGTGATTACACTTCAATCGTCCATCGATTATTTGAGCGACCAAGGGTGCAAGCGATTTTGCTTGTGACGTTGGCACAACTAGCACTTTATTGTGACTTGGTGAAGTCTTCGTGATACCTTTGGCACAAATGCTTGAGTGTCTTTCCACATTCAACGCATCCTATTGATATTTCAATGTTGGTCACTACATAAACGGTTATTATTGGCACTGAGCCCGCATGACATTGCTCAAAGTCGCAGAATCCGGTTTGATCTCTCCGTGTGCTCGGAAAGAATGAGTATCAACCAATTTTTACCAGCGATGCCATCGGCACATGTAAATACTTAATCCGCACATGGGAAAGCTCATTCTGGACTATCGCCATTTGGCATTGCTGGCTTAGAAAAGCGTGCTTGTCCTTGGTGGCAATTTACCGTGCGTCGATAAGTAAGACATTCTCTCTCGATGTCTGCAAAGCATTTGTCCATTGCAAATAACATTTGTCTTCCTAGATCACTCTACAGAATTTTCACCCGACTTCGTGACAGTACCCATATTACTATCAAAAGTAATGGTAGCGATATCGATATGCGCGTTTACGGCACCGATGGCTTCGGTGCTACTCCTGAGCGATGCATCACTTACGCTAGTGGAACCAGTATTGATATCCAGTATCTGCAATTAGAATAGTCATCGGTGATGAATGAATACGGGGTGCCCCGTCAGCAACGATAGTGTCGATACCGTCGCTAGGTATAGCAACGGTGACATATAAGCTGCACTACGTGACACCTTTGCAACAAAGTGGACGGTGATCCTCAGGGGATGTGTCAGGAACTATGAGGATGGGTTCATTGTTGCCAAATAATCATGTGTTAGCAACGACATCTTCTTCGGGCACGCAGTGATTAACAGCGGTCCCCGACAATCTCGCGCGATACGACAGTATTAAGTCCTGGCTGCGTCTTTGCAGCGGCGGATGCATCCAAGATGGCTTGGCTTGGCTTGACAACATTACTTGGCTTCACTGCACCCTTGGCGTCCCCTTCAATTCATTTTTTCGGCCGCTCCTTTCTACGCAACTTTTTGGTCACTAAAGTTTTAGCACCGTCAGCTACACCACGGATTCAACAAACACCGCTAGCATTCTTTCAATTCACAGACATTGCCACGCCACACGTTTCCTTTCCAAAGATATTTTGTCAGTACTGACACACAAGATGCTGCTGCTCATCTCACCGAAGTAGAGCCAGCTGTGTCTTCGACACCTTATAACTGCGGATTCTCCCTTCCTCCTAAGATGGTTTTCTTCGTAGCCTTTCCGACCGCGTAAGCTTTTCTTTTTGCCCTACGAGTTTCACCATCGTAGCGAGAATTGAGATATCGAGTGCGCTTGCCAGCAACGCGGACTTCGCGCCACTCTTCGTGTTTCTTAAGCTGTTCTTGGTATTTGCGCCATATCTTCACTGCCTGGTAGCGCATAAAGTCCCGCTTACAAAATATTACCACCGTTCTATTCTCCATACGGGCTAACTCAAATACAAGAGGTGTGTGTGTGTCGGTAGCCGGAGCAACCGCAGTCGCTGCCATCGATCCCTTTCTCGTGATAACGATGTCAGCCGAAGGTGAAGTCCCGTGTATTTGCTGTTTCTGGCCACCTGTAGTAAGTGGAATCACCCTTGCAAAAGGCCTTTTAGCTCTGTTTATCTTCCTTGGTATTTGGGCATCCTTCCCATTGTCGACCACATCAAGCTTGATCGGAGATTGAACGTTGTTGACCGCTTTTAAAGAGACCGACACATTGAGAGATGATTGCTGCCGCCGATGCTGTCCAAATGCTTTATCTATCGGGCTGTCACAAACTCTGCCCACATTAGTCTGCCCCATCGCATTCGGTTCATTTGTCTTTCGTTTGACTTCCGGGGTACTTGAATGCAAAAAGTATGCCGGCTGCACGGCCTGCTCTAGCACTGCTGTATCCTGAGGCGGTGTTCTGGTATGCTTCTGAATCAACTGGTACGTTGTAGAGCTATTGCACATGTCAGTACTTGCGACCGCCATCTTACTGCTGCCTGGATTCGGCTCTTCATACGCAGCAATGTTCGGGTTTGCAAATTCTGTAGATAACTGAACGACAGGAGCGGGCAGCAGTAATTGCGAGGGTGGAGTTGAACTTTCTGAATTTTTTTTTGACGGTCTTGTGTTCGTGATACAAGCGGTCTGTTCTGATGCACGAGCAGCTCGGGACTCCAAGAAAGCTAGATGCATGGGTGTGCTCGGTCTCGCGGTTGATATAAATGCTGAGGCTGTCACGTCACTCGCACTCTGGCCCAGTAGGAGGGTCCCAGCAGGCTGTTTTCTACGTAGCTGCTGATAATTTCGTACACTTTGTTGGTGGGACATCTTTTGCCGGTTGGCTGAAGCCTTGTTCCTTAGCATCTTACGCCTAGGAGGTATTCGCTTCTGTTTGTCATAGGGTCGACTTGTCGACAAGTCTACGTTGCTAGATCCGTCCTCATAATTAAGAATATCTCGCATAGTCACCAGTCGCACTGCTTGTCGTGCCAGCGATACACCCGGGACTACCGTAGCTCCAGAAGGTGGAATTGGCAGTCTTGGGTATACATTCATTTGTCCCTCTATCTGCACCTCTTCTCCAGTCCAAATCCGAAATTGAGAGGGGTTCGCGTTAAACACGGCCTGCTTTTTCCGAGCTTTCCCGAGATAAACGTTAATACCAGCGGAAACGTTAACAGTGGTATGGTTGCTAACTGCAGGCGCTGCGCTTGTAAAAAACCCCTCCATAATCTGGTCCAAGAAAGCGTCATCGAAACTAGGTCCGCTTGCTTTTTCTTGGCGACTGCGTTGGTTTATTTCAGCGGGGTAATACGGCTGTGGTTGAAGAAGCTCTTGTTGAGTGTATCGTTGTAGTGTTTGCATTCGGGGCACCTTTGTCCTCTCCGCTTGAGTTTCAGCTAGCAACCTTACATCGTGTCTTTCCTGCCGATAAACTGCAAAGTTATATGGATTTTGAGCTTGCAAATGCGCCTGAACTATTTGCGGATCCTGGTGTAAAGCAAACACTCCATCATTGTCCATCGGCACTCCTGACCGTGAACGTTCGTTATAATCTGACATGTACGAGTGTGTCGAAACTGGCGCTGTCGTTGTTCGGACTAGCAGTTGCTCACTACATCCACTTCGAGCATTGTAAAGCTGTCCAGGCTGCTGTATCACAGCATTCAAATCTCCACCACTACCAAAACTTGGTGTAGGTGTGTGTAAAGTGTACACGTCATTTGTCCACCCTGTTTGATCTAATCTACCCGCGCTACTCGAGTAGCGTGGTGGTAGTATCCTCTCCACAAACCTCTGGGCTTGCACCTGCTGTCGTTGTACCTTTTCCTGCTGCCAACGTTGCACCTCCATATGCTGCTGTTGCATCTGTTTCTCTAGCTGATGCTGCTGGTTGATCTGCATCCGTAAGTCCCGTTGCTGCTCAAGCTGCTCCTGTATCGCACACTGATGCCTTCGATGCCAGTCATTACTGGACGTCGAAGGTGCATTCATGTTCACTAGCATCGACACTTCCTCGTCACGTTGACAAAGCATGGGTTTCGTATGATATGGGTCATTAGAAGATGGACACCCAATGGTCGGGAGGCTGTTAAACTGCGACATCTCGTGATTGGGTTCATTACATGACTCCTGTTGTTGCTGCTGCTGTTGAGTCGAAAGAAGTCGATGGCACTGCATCAATAGTGGCTCTGATGTGTAGCAAAAGTCGTATAGTGTGCCCGCCATGTCTTCGTCGGATAGTGACAAAGCCTTTGCATCCCTTGCCGGGTTCGTCATATTTGTCTTCTCGTCTAATTGTTAATTGAGCTCTATTACGTAGTTGAAATTGCACTCTTATATATGACTCAATTGCAAACCCCTATATAAGAGTAAATGGTGATGATGCTAACAATGTCACCCATGGCTGAGCTCCTTGAGCGAGTGTTGTGCTGAGCCACGACGCAGTGGCTTCTGCTGCGATTCATGTGGAGACCAACCAATGAGGTAGATAACCTGAAACGTAGCAGGTACCGTGCCGTCCGATTGGCCGAACATGGATTGATAGATTGAGGCAGCCGCAAGCAGCGAGTCTCGCGTGGCAGGAGCTCCTCGCGAGTTTATGGCGTGATTTTCACCCATGCCACGTAGATGCTCCATTAATACAAAGGCATTTGGATAGTCCACTTGGATAAAGTCCGTATCCACTGGATGCAAAGTAGCTAAGTTAGTATTCGTTGTAATTGCACTTGGCTGGAACGTTCGTACCAGTGCACAAGTTAAACCCCGTAGCCGACAAGAGGTTGCCAGCATTAGCGACGTTCATGAATGGAGAGATGTGGGGGGAAATGCCGCCTTGACGCTCTTGGTCGCCAAGGATAAAGGCACTCCTGTAAAACAATGCAGCATTAGGGCGCGGATACTTTATGCACAATATGGTTATCGTAAGCGTACCGCAGTTCCTGCAATGAGTCTCCTCCCAGCACCGCACCAATGAATGCACCATCGGGCTTCAGCGTGTCTAGCACCTGGTGAAACGTGCTTTCAAGATCGTTCACCCAGTGCAAACTTAGTGAGCTCATTACCAAGTCAAAGTGGCGGCTCGGGAATGGAAGGAACTCCTCATCTGCTACCAGACGTGTTGTCTCCACTGCATAGGCCACAATGACCATGAGTCGAATTAGCATTACAGCACCCTCTCTTGGTTATCAGAATGACTACGTACGCAAGGTGTTCGTCTCCAAGTTGTCGCGTAGAAGCAATTTCTCTGCATTGTGCAAACATGCGAACGACAGAGTGTCAGACGCCAGTCTCTTCCACTATCGCCGCTCTGCTATACTCGTTCGTACCCGCCGAGTCGCACTGGACCAGCTTCTTGATGCCTCCTAGCCCGTGGTCGATGCTCAGGTTCTTGTATAGGTGGCCACTGCCACACCCCAAGTCCAGTGCCAATGGGAACTCGCGCTCAATATCCTACCATAAGCACACAAAAGACGACAGCCACGGTCATCTTCTGTCCATAGGACGTATTTCACTCAGCTGTGGCTTGTTCGCACCTCCAAGCGATCGACGAGGCGACGAGCGACCTCGTCCTGAAGATACTCGTACTCGTTACTATTGTCCAAAAGCGCGATGTTGTTCCGCTGTTGCCTCTTGGTTCCTATTGCATCAAGTAGAAAACGAAGAGATTAGTCAACGTATGAGTCGATGAGCGAGAAGTTTCAGACGATGCTGATATGCACCTCGATTAAAGATCGGTATCGTGGAAAACGAGCGTCTAGTCACCAAGGGCTGCATGAAAGCAGTCACACGATTCTGCAAAGCAGCAACAGGCACAGACAAGCGTAAGGCTTGAGATAGTGATGATAGCCATATAGCGAGTTGTTAGCTAAACCATGGTGCTGCTTGTTTGTTAATCGAGGAATGGGAATTGATTGCTACAGGATCGAGAGAAAATGGCCAATCATGCAAAGCGATCCCAAGAGATCGATGAAAGAGATCAATGCTTATGCAGTTTTGAGTCACGACGTGACTGCTGTTTGAAGAGAAACACAGAGGCTAACACAGGATCGCCCTGGTCTTTAATGTTTGCTTGATCCCTTGCCACGCCACGGAGCGCTGTCGCTAAAGATTGGAATGAAATTGTTGATGGCGTCGCGCTGGTTCTGCACGATGCATTCGCAGATCCACACCAAGTTGCGCACCTCCTGTTCTTTCAACTTTACGTACGCGTAGAAGCAAGCTGCAACGGGACAAAACGACTCAGTTAGTTGGTCATACGCAGACACGACACACAAATGCTCTCGGATCCACTCGTACCGAAGTGCATTTGACTCTGAAACGCCAATTCCGCCATCTGGACGTCACGCTCGTAAAATGCGTCGTCGATGGACTTGCTGTCCACGCTCTCACTCTGATGAACCTCCCAGATCTTACGATATGCTGGGAACGAATCCAATGCTGATCCAAGTGCCGACTCATCGCCAGCTTCCGCCAGAAGCGCCGTCGCATCGGGGTATAGCGAACCAATAGACGGATACAGCGGCTTGCGGTCTGAGATGCGCATCGCAGGCTACAGCACGCGGCGAAGCACAATCAAAATGGTCAGTCCACACTTTTGATTCTGGTAAAAATTAACGTGGCGATAGCTTCATTGAGAAGAAGAGTAATCTTGTGCCTGACCGCACAGAATCCGAATCATTAGCCGACACACATCGTACTAGTCATCCAAACAGCGCGCAGCGCACATGATAGATTGAGGAGACGAAGAAGATCAGTCCTGGTGATTCGGTGCAGTCGTCAAGCAAAGGTTGCTTAACCAGTGGTTCCTGCGTATTACGGAGTATGGTGACCGACTTCTGGACGACCTGAACAAGGTACGGTAGGTGACTGCAGAGCGTGAACATGTCGAGGCGGTTTTAACACATTTTGAGCAGCTAAACAAGTGGCCGGACGCCGTGAAGCGTATGCAGGCAGCATGGATTGGACGATCGCAGGGCTCAAGAGTCGAGTTCCAGGTTGCACTTAATGCAGCGGCAGGTGTCAAACCGACCACTTTGACGGTCTTCACGACGCGCGTTGACACCATCTTTGGTGTGAGCTTCGTTTCAATGGCTCCTGACAGCGTCGAGGTGGAGGTTTTGCTCCCACACGTTCCGGCGGCACAGCGGGCTGCCGTCGATGCTTACGTTGCCAAGGTGCGCGCAATGAGTAAAGACGACCAAGGCAAGGGCGACACGACGGCAGGAGTCTTCACAGGACTGTATGCACATCATCCGCTTACCGGGCGTCACGTGCCCATTTACTTGGCCGAGTACGTGTTAGCACATTACGGTACCGGTGTGGTCATGGGCGTCCCCGCACACGATAGTCGAGATCTATCCTTTGCGCGTCACCACAATCTAGAAGTGCGGTCCGTTGTGGGAAGCAGCGACGGAGTTGTGTGGAATGAAGACGAGGCGTTCACAGATTATGGCGTGCTGCATGACTCTAACGAATTTTCCGGCATGACATCGCAGGAAGCGACGACGGCCATTAACGATCGTCTCGAAGAGAAGAGCGTTGGATGTACCACTACTCAGTTCCGCCTGCGGGATTGGTTAGTTTCACGCCAGCGTTACTGGGGCACTCCTGTACCAATCATCTCATTGTCCGTCATGTGGACCGGTCGGAGTTCCCACCAAGCACTTACCAGTTGTACTGCCGCCCGTGGGGAAAGATGTGGCTGCCGGCCTGCGTGGAAAAGGTAGTAGTGACTCTCCTCTTGCGCGCATGCCTGGTTGGCAGGACTGCAAATGCCCACGTTGTGGCGGCGATGCCAAGCGCGACACCGACACACTTGACACGTTTGTTGATAGCTCGTGGTACTACATGCGCTACTGCGACGCTAGCAACGATGCTGCTGCCTTCAAACCCGAGCAAGCAAAAACATGACTGAAGCACACGAATGATGCACGAAGATCCCTTGGCCTTGCCATCGAAATGACGTTCTGACCTATCTATGTCGGGTAAGATAATGAAAGATAGATCGGAATGCCATTTCGGCCTGAGCGTGAGCATAGAGGCAGCGTCACTTGCCCAAGGACAGTCACGATACTTTCGTCTGTGTACGTGTGCACTTCTGCCAGCCAGTTCCATGCTTGTTACCGAGATGCCAGTTGATGTGCGGGTGATAGATCGGCGCGCTTGCCTGGTATGAACTCTTTACTTGCAGACAAAGAAGTCGCACAAGCACGAGTGCTAAAATGTCAAACATGTCAATTGTAAACAGCAAAGGAGCGACTAGCAGAAGCCCGAGGGTGAGAGGGAGGTCCCTATTTACATGACAGTCTTAGCTCATGTGGCAACGAACGAAGCAAGAACCGATAATGAGTTGTTCTGTATCAAAGGCGCTCCTGATCGATCGAAAGAGCTTCTGTCGTTTACGTGTCCGCCAGCGCATTTGCTTCTCTTGTGCGTTTTTCTAGAAGTAAATGAGACGGATGAGACCCTTCTTAGCAGTCCAAGTCTGTATTCAAAATCTTTTCGCTCTCCTTGCATCAAAACTGGATCCTGCCACTGCCACAACCTCAGTCTGTGCACACTCAAACGACTAGTGTGAAGCGCTGCTCTCTTTCTCGATTGTTTCACATATAACCCACTCCATTGTTGCGCTTTCCCCAGCTTCTCTGTCGTAACGAAGAATACATCCAACTGCTTGCCATTCGAAAGCAAGCAAATTAAAAGACCGAGTTTGTCCGATTGCTAAGGCTGTCATTCGCGTTGACTGCTCGTTTGAAGGACCTTGGTGGCTGTGCTCCTCGAATCAGTTGCCGTTACAATAATCAACTTCACACAAGACAAATGAGGAACGTAAATGGATCGTGCAATCTTAATTTAGGAAGTAACAAGAAGGACCCTTATCACCAGGTCGTTAAGGTCGAGGTGATGACAGGACCTCCAGAATTACTAAAAGATTACCCACAAATCCCCAAATTTGCCTCGACCGGCTCTTGGTCGCAGCTTCTTCATGCTAATGGGTTCTTGAGCCACTTCTTTTGGACAGGATACTCCAACAGCGCTTTAATCCGGCGCGCTGACCCCGCGAAATCATCTTTCATGAGCACATTCATCATCTTTGTACCAGTAAAACTGCCAAAAATAGTGTGGAGATGTTGTGCGACTCGAACGAAAGAGAAATGAGGCCACTCTTGTTCATTGAGCTCATGTACACGTAATCCAACGAAACCCTTACAAGCAAGTGATCTATCTTAGGAGGCCACAGCTCTATACAAATTTCAATCGGATTTACGCCCGCTGATTGCAAATGCTGGAGACGAGAGTATATCAGGCCTACAGCGAGGGTCAAGTCCTCACTAGTTGTTCCTGCTAGAGCCCTTATAAGATTAAATTCGCCTTTTGACCCTCTGAGGAGGAAATTGAAAGCACTGTCGTAACTAGACTCCGCTTTGGTGATGAATGCACCCCACATGATAAATTCTGGACTGTCGACTTGTTTAGCAAATTCTGATGTTTCGCTGTCCGGTAGTTGTTTTAATTTCAGGCGATGGAAAACACTTTTAACTGTTTCCTTTTCAGCAAGCCACCGCTCGATCTGATAGTCGCGAAGACGTTGAACCGTGTCCCCGTGTGAACCTTTTGCTTGACCTAGGACCATGACCAAAGCAGCTTCACCCTCAAATTTGCTTTCTATAATTTTGAACATCACACGAAACGCATCTTCTTCCGTGGGGTTGGTTTTTACGACAAAATATTTCCACGCGGAAAACTTTGGGCTTTTGAATACGCTGCCTTTTACCTTGTCGAGCTGAAGGAACTTGAACACATCGTCCGGAGTTTTTTTGTGCTGCCGCCACAGCCACCATCGCACTCGAAGTTTTGCGAAGATCTTTACGACACTCTGATGCAAACTGGCAGGGAGTCCCTCGAGTCCCGCGAGACTAGTTACTAGTCTCCTCCCTTCGCCGCTGTCGACTTGTTGGTTTGTTGTCACGTTCGCGGTCGACCTCAAGTAGCGGGTGTGAACGACATTTGGCATATCCGACGCCTGTGGGGTGAGAGATAGTTCATCAGCAAAAGCCATTGTCACGGCCAAGAGTGCGATGAGCATGATTACAAGCAGTGCCAGGGGGGCTTTGATGAGCTTGACCAGCATCTATAGAAGCGAGGCAAGTGGCTAGCTCGGGAGCAAATGATAAGTGGCAATTCCGCAAGACCTCATTTGGCGGCGAATCAGATGCCAATGTTTCATCGGTGGTGGCAGGAATATATACAATTCCTTCGTGTCATTTGAAGTAGCACGTCATAATCCGCTGCATCAATTTCTGAAATAGATGCAGACAATTTTCTTAGACACGGTGGCCAGATCAGATGCAATATCGGCTTGAACTAGTTTATTTCCACTGTCACGACACGTTCTGAGGCATCATTGACCAAGTTGCAAACACTTTATTCTCTGTTTCTTCGGACACTGATATCGGATCAGATTAAAATATTGGCTCGGGCGCTAGCTGCTTAGAGAACGCCACAGACTGTTGATTGTAGCTACTTATCACTACTAAGATGTCTAGCTTTGAGGTAACTACTCGTGTCATCTACCCTAACGCAATCTTCTGACTCCTCCTCTTTCTCATTCTGCTGGCTTAAAACGTCGGGCTTAATGCGGGGCACTCTTACGAAGGTCGTGGATCAGCCCGGTGTCAAGTCCGGGGTTAGTTACTTATATGCATTCTTATGAAAGCATAGACCTGCATGGGTACCCATACCCATACCCATTACCTACCCGTACCCATGGGTATATGTGTAACGGGGTGAGCCCGTTACATAATATTGACACTTATATGAAGTGTCAATAAAAATATTATTATAACTAATAATATTTTGACAATATTATCTTTTCTTATTATATTGTCCCCAGATCTCCTTGAAGTTGGAGATGCCCTCTCATTGGTTGATATGGGCCATCATATCAACCAACGCGCTGACCAATGACCGATGGACGCGCGCAATGAGTGGAGGGCAAGTTGTCAACATACATAGTTGTAGTTTAATATAGCTAACATAGGTTATAACATATAAGTTTTATTAGACAGTTAACTATATTAAATACAGTTTTCTTTTCCCTCTCAACTAAGCGTTTGCTTCGTTGATAAGCTTCCTCTGCTCACGTGTACGCGAGGTAATTGAGGCACCTGCTTTCACTGTAATCAGTGAAAGTAGACTATACTGTAATCAGTATAGTCGGAGGGTGCCCCATTACACCTGGTAGCACTTCGTGGTCCGTTCAGCGACCACCGCACCATCCGCTATGGAATCAGCGGGTGATGAACGTCATCACGCAACGCGTGATGATTTCCGCCATTTGAGTGACCTCGAATGGAATGCGGTTCAGCGTATGGCTGAAACCATCGGGAACCCTGCCGTTGGTGCCATGTTGCTCTCTCTTGGCGAAGACGACCAACATGCAACCATCGCCAAGTTCATACAATATGAACTTGACGAAGTTGTAAAGAAACTCACCTTGCGGCAGGAGCAAGGTTCTCAACAGGTTGACCTGTTGAGAGAACAAGGCGCTCAACAAGCTGACTTGTTTATGCAGCAAGGCGCTCAACAGTCTGAACTGTTGAGACAACAGTAGGCTAGTGCTGTTGCTGCCAAATCGACGTATACACGTCGACCCGAGTCCTTGAAGATTGATGTCTCTGTGGTGGAGCGGGATTCGCAAAATTGCTGATGCGATTCCAACTCTCCACTGGCGCCCGGACGACCGACTAACGGAGGGGGTACCCCGATTCCGTGTATAAAGCCTTCCTCACCTTGTGTACCCGTCGGTAGGGCGGGTTGCTCTCTTCTCGGTGGACTTGAGTCGATGTTGATCTTAAACTGGGTTAGGGATAGGAGGTTTGGTTATCTTGTGGAAATCTTCACAAGATAAACCGAGTACTTGGTGTGATCTTCCCAATCGATCACGGTTATCCAATAAAGCGAAGCTTGAATCTTCTGACCACTTGAGCAGAACCTTCTGACCACTTGATCCGTCCTGCACTTGCTTCGCCTTGCCCTACGTGTTTTATCTGCGTCCGATCGCAATTGAGTTGTGTTGAGAGTTCTTGCAATCCCTGGCCAAACAATCCAGGGATATGACTTGCGCAGTGTGTAGGCTTCCTCGAGACGTTGGCTGGCCAAAGAATCCAGCCCGGAAGAGAAGTTGACACGTGTATCTGAAGTAAAATTGAACTCTGTTAATGTTAACCAATCAAATACCAAAACCTACGATTATGCCTATCTGTAGTCCAGGATCTATCACCACATGTCACCCTTCCAGGAAAAATCAGACCTCGATATGTGGTCCACCCCAAATGCCTTTGCCATCCCGATCCATCGGCGATCTTGCCTTATCCTTGGATCGCGTTCAGCCTTGAATCGCGGTCCTGATTCGGATCGCGGTCCTGATTCGGATCGCGGTCTACTTTGGATCGCGCTATACCTTGGATCGCGGTCCTGAGTCGGATCGCGGTCTACCTTGGATCGCGACCGATCCTGGGTGTGTGGTCCACATAACTTGGATCGCGATCTCCACTCCACGAAATTTGTTTAGCCGCTCTTCCACAATCGCCCCCTGCACTGTTAGCTGACATACAGTGTTGGCCAGACTGTGCATCGCATCCACATTAATTGCCCCAGCCATTCTCATGTCTTCTTCTTCGTCTGCGGCCGCTTCCCTTGTTAGCCGGGATGGTTCCGATTCTGTCGTATCTGCAAGCTCTTCAGCTGTCTCAAGACCTGGAAAGTCATGCCTGACTTCCGATCCGCCTATGAAACATTCTTATGGATCGCGGATTTTGCTTCCTTCTACTCGCGTAGAATTCCCGCCCGTGGTGGATCGTCATACCTTGGAGTCGTCAATCGCGGCATTGTACAATCGTTTGGACGCCCAAACTGCCGTCGTGGACAGTTATCGTTCCTTGGAAGATGCTCTACGAGAGCAAAAAGTGCGCTCTACTCGGCTGGAACGTGAATTGCAATCCTTCCGGGAATAGCACCTCCTCTGTCAAAATTCGTCTTGGATCGCTACAAGCGGCTTCAGGAACGTTACGACACTGCGATCCAGAAAGCTTAAGAATTTGAAGATGAACTGGGCCTGCGGGAGGACCAATCTCAAGAGATTGCAAGTTTGAAAACCGCTTTACTCAAAGCAAACACGGCGAACCAGCATGCTCAGGAGAGACACCGATGAGAAATGACCGTGACTGAGCAAGTCTTGAAGGGTCAGTTCCAGATCCAGCTAGCTTCTTTCCAGGATCGTCTTGATACACTCCAAGCCACCCATGATGATCTTTTGAATGAGAATCTTCGTAAAGATATCTCTTTGGATCAGCTACGGCGAAAAATCTTGGATCGGGAAATGAAACGCGATCAGGCCGTCCACGATCGGGATGCACTTCGATCCCATTTAGCCAAACTAGCTTCTGGAGCACTCCCAATCATCCAATCTGATCCTCCTGCACCAGATAGCTCGGCGTCCCGGAAAAGCAAACGGTCTTCGTCCCCATCAGCGGTCGAACTTCCACCCAAACGTCCTCGAGCCGTAGGCTCTTCTTCTTCGGGCCCGCCTGCCTCCAACCAAGGCAAAATTCCATCGATCCAGAGAAATGTCCCAGCACGATCCGCTAAATCAGCTAGTTCCACTGTACCAGCCCGATCTGTTGGATCTAAAAACGTGATCCGGATGCTTCCAAAGTTCAAGCAAAACCCCGGAAAAAACCTGCCGCCCCTTCGAAATCGAAAGGGAAGAAGAAAATTCCCACACCTCCGAAAAGGAAAAACAAGAAATCGATTCCTACGCCCCCTCCCTCCGAGTCAAGTGACGACGAAGAATTTTTGATTCTGGAGACTTCCTGCTTGCAGCCCTATCTGGATCGCGTTCTTCTTCTAGACGTCGTGGCTCGACAACTGGGGTCTTCCCGTACGTTGGATCGCCTGGCTCCCCGATCAATGTCGACACCTCCAGTTCCACGTCTGAGTCACTCTCAGCATCGCCTGCTCCATCCGCTCCGACTAAAATTTCGAAAGTGGATCTTTTTGGAGAACCCTCTAGTGATTCTGAGGGTGCGGTTAGCTTCACCAGCGAATCCCGTGAGAAGATCAACATATTGCTTTTACCACACGAGTACGCCAATCTACCGGCTACTCAGAGGTCGCGCAATCAGTGGATCCCTGGATATCGCAAACGAATTCCTCGATCTTCAGCAGGTTGCGCCTTGGTCAGCCCGAAGAATTAGCTCTACCTGCGTGGCCGAGTTGGAAGTGGACTTCTTGTACAAGCATCTTTCTAAGCCCAAAGGATACCCTTTTCCCATACTGACTATATCCAAGATACCGCCATATGATTCACTATGGACGCCCAGGCTGGTCACTTCGGCGCAAATTGCAGTACTTTATGACCAGGAACCATGGAAATCTCTTGATACTTTGGTCACCCCAGTTTCATTTCCGATGACTGGGTGGTTCGACGAGCTAAAAGTCCATTATTTTGATTTTGAAGATCGACACCGGCAAGCGCTTTGGGAATCAACTCATCCGTTGTACCTATCGAAAGAGCAGCGTGAAAGCGATCCAGACTTGGCGAAGTTTTACCGGGAGCGTAAACAACGTCGATCACGATCTGGTCCCCACTGTAAAACAGTACTTCGATTCTTTCTTCGGGGAATAATTATGGGGCACTGCGATCTGGATATCTTGTTGGATCCATTTTTCCTCCATTTCCCTCAGTCTTCCGAAATACCAGTATGGTATCCTGGTTTGGACTGCAAGCAGAAAAACATCCCCAACCTGATTACTGCACTGTCGCTATTGGATTCTGCGGAGCCTTATGGGAATCAATATCTATCCTCTATCGCGGATCACCCCGGTTCATCCCTCGCCCTTTTATCCAGTAATTTTTTTTCCCAAACAGCAATCGTGATCCGATAACACTTCTTGATCGTTCAATACAATTCCGTTTTATTCCTCCTTTTCGTTAAAATTGTCTTCTTTTGTTGGGCTTCTTTAGCCGCGATCCAGTTTTCCAGACCTTCGATCGCCATACTCATTACACACAAATTTCCTTTCCACCACCCTATGCAACCTTCTTGCATATTATACCATTCCCAACAC